CCCCCGGGAAAGGCTATGCCAGGGTACTGGAGAGGAGAATTCGACCAATAGTCGAACCTCGGATTCAGGAGGAACCACTGTTCTCTGCTTAGAAACAGTTTTCATCCTGGCCACAGAACACTGGACCAGTTCTATACCCTCTACTCGTTATGGGAACTAATCTTTTCTGTTTCTGGCTCAGACTAGTTGTCTTAACCCAGGGGTGTCCAGACGTTTTGCAAAGAGGTGAAAATGTGTGGGGGCCTGACATTCTTTGGACCACTAACATGAAATTCAAATGAACTATTTTATGAAATTTTTATTGCAAATGGAATACTTTCACTTCTTCACACAGAATTAAAAATAAATCTAAACAAGTTTTTACCAAAATCACTCTGCCTTTCATATTTGAAGACCACATAAAATGAAGAAAAAGACTGTCTGGGGAAAAAAAAAGCTGAGGACACTTCTTCACACAGAACACAAATAAATCTAAACAAGTTTTTACCAAAATCACTCTGCCTTTCATATTTGAAGACCACATAAAATGAAGAAAAAAACTGTCTGGGGAAAAAAAGCTGAGGACGATTAAACATATCTAGGTTCATTTGAAACATTACATATTAATCACTATTAAATGCTCACTGTAAACTTCTAAATTCAAAACATGTGAACAGGAAAATAACACTAATAGTTATTTTATCCAGAAGCTCCAAGAGTGCCATATGATTCCGTGTATCACTTGTTCTTTCGTTTTTCAATTTACCATCAAAAATATAGGGATATCAAAAAAGGCCACGTTTTTCATTATTTCAATTTTAGACTCGAATCAAAAATACGAAATGAAAAAACAGGCTGCCGGACCGAATTTGATTTGAATATTTAATTTGTTGGGTTTTCTAGACCCGGTTTGATTGTCACTTGAAAAACAAAAGACTGATAGAAAAGACTCAGTGCATATTCAAAACTGTGGTTTTGTTCATCGCAAAAAAAAAATCTATTCACTGAGATTTTAGAATGTATTCACCTCAGACTAAACAAATGACTTGCCTGCACTAATGTGAAGGGTGATACTGAGATCTCAACTGCAGTAAATACTTCTTGCACAAGTATGTCGAGCCAAACAAGCTCAGCATTTCCTTTGCAAATGTTCGAATCTCTTGGAACCTGCCTTTATCCAGTCAGCGGTAAAAGTTGACAAGAGGGAGCCGTTGGTGCCGACTGCGACACTCGGCATCACACTGCAACTCAATGAGCTCCAGCTGCATTTTAGAAATGAGCTGGAAAGGATCACACAAGGGTCACGTGGCAAAAGTGCGGCCACAGGTCTAACGCCATCTTCTGGCAAAATATAAAATGGCTTTTTTGTACACGTGTATTTTATACTGTGGTCAACAGAGCTGGCTGGCCGCATATTATTGATTTTATGACAGAGGCTGCGGGCCGGTGGAAATTTGAACATGGGCCGCAATTGGCCCACGGGCCGGACTTTGGACATGCCTGTTCTACAGGGTGGTGGAGGGCTCATGGTGGTTTGCCCAACCAGTCCACATGTGTTTTGTGGATTTGGAGAAGGCATTTGTCCGTGTCCCTCGTGGCATCCTGTGGGGGGTGCTCTGGGAGTATGAGGTCCGGGGCCCTCTATTGAGGGCCGTCCGGTCCCTGTACGACTGGAGCAGGAACTTTGTTTGCATTGCTGGCGGTAAGTCAGACTTGTTTTCAGTGCATGTTGGACTCTGGCAGGGCTGCCCTTTGTCACCGGTTCGGTTCATTATTTTTATGGACCGAATTTCTAGGCGCAGCCAGGTGCCGGACGGAGTCCAGCTTGGGGATCACAGGTTTGGCATGTCTGTCTGCATTTTCATTTCCCTCAACTCCAGCATGTCCAGGTACCCATGAAAAACCTAGAAGCCATCCCATGAGGTCAACACTGTACAAGCAGCACAGAATCTCCCACAGAAGGTCAGGGTGGGCCCCAGATGACCCATTCCTCAGAGCCAACCAGACAGCAGTAGAATCAGAGCAGATAAAACTTATTGGGGGGATTAACAAGTTCCTGGTTCACACATTAGCGCTGTAAACATGGGCAATGTGAGGATGATAATCTAATATTTACACAGTTCAATAACAGCTTCTATGATTATTTCATTCCTGTAGTAGAAAAACTTAATCAGAAACACCTTTTCATATGATCGTCACTATAAAGTAGCTCCAGTCTCACAAATGACCATACAACTGAGTGGACACATTAACAAGTATCAGCAAAACTTCAGCATTCATAACTAAGGTATCTGCTATTTACCGCTGTTCAGTTGTATTAAATTGTATCTCAGCTTTTCACTTTGCTCTCTCTGTAACAAGTGAGAAAGCTTCAGAGTGTGAGATTAGAATTTGAACTGGCCAGTATAGCAGTGAATACAGCATCAATACAGCAAGTTCTGAACTAATCACCTTGCGTAATTTGATGAGTGTGTTTGCATTTCTGAAATATCCAGAACAGAAAAATAAGCTATACAGATTTATCTTGACAAATATTACCTCTTAAGCTTCTAGACTTGTGTTGGACTCGCTGGGAGCTGTTGTCTTGAATCCTTTCAGACCAACGCGATTGATGTAGTTGACCATAGGCCTACGCTAATACATGCCGCATAAACATGTATTAGTTAATCGGTGATAGATCTATGTGCATGAATCGCTGCTGGCCATTATGGCAATGCATCAACATAACATGTACACAGTTAGCTATTAGCTGTTAGACTTAAGAGCTTGATAGTTAACTCATTCAGGTGGTAGATGGGAGTTTGTGGGCAAAGCTGAAAAGATTGCTGCTCTGCAAGTTTATACTCATTTAGCGGGTACTTTGATAAATTGCTGTGACTGGCATTTTACTCGCAGAGGTTTTATTGCATGTACAGTGGAGCAGAGGTGTTTTCACCTTGAGTAATGTGTTTCACCTGCTGCTCCTCTGTCCACTGCAGCATCTTAGCTGCACTTTGGTCCAGGATCTTAGCACCCCTTGACTGTACAGATTTTTAAACTCATTTGAAATCCTTGTGCATCATTATGCTCATTATTGTTAATATTTCAGATTTAAAAAATTTTTTTTTAGATAAAGTAACCTGTTATCACAAGAAAATGAGCTTTGTTATAACAAGATAAAATAACTTACTTGTGATTTTGAGATAATGCAGCGGCTCTCCTACATTATTATAATGTCCCTTAATCTGTCTTTATTATTTGTTAAATCACTAAATATGCTTTATATTTCCTGACATCTATGTTTTTTTAGTCACTTTCTACACTGTGCCATTAACAAATATTTCAATATCCCAATGACAATAGCAAACTTAGTCAATTGCATCATCCCATTGATGACATAATCTATTAGACAGTTACAGATGGAATAATATCCCCATCTGTTTTATGATCATGTGACTCGGGTACCTTCAGTCCTACCTGCTCTCAGTGAGTGGGATAAAATATAAATAAAAGATCTCAGAGTACAACTAACTTCAGGAAACTGCACACTTGATATTGTCTGATGAGAGTTTGGATATAACGGTTCCCAACAGTGAACTGTGTCATTCTTCATTAAATATTTTATTGATTTTCTTTTCGATCCAGGGAAACAATTAATCCAGAACAGAAAACTGCTACCATGTCTAATGCCACATTTGTTCACCCTGCAAAATTTTATATCAGTGGGTTTTCTGACATCCCTCATGTTAAATATTTGTATGTCTTCCTGTGTTTTGTCTATATCATGACTGTTCTTGGGAATGGCCTCCTCCTCTCAGTGATTTACCTGGACAAGACTCTTCATACTCCTAAATACATGATTGTGTTCAACCTGGCTTTTATAGATTTGTGTGGGAGCACTGCTCTCATCCCAAAAGTCATGGACACCTTTTTGTTTGGCAACAGATATATTGTCTATGAGGCTTGTTTAAATTACATGTTCTTTGTTTGGTTATCTACGAGTGTGCAGTCGTGGACACTTGTGATTATGGCATATGACAGATTTATAGCAATTTGCTTTCCTTTAAGGTATCATAGTATTGTGACCGAAGCAGCTATTGCCGTAATGCTGCTGTTTGTGTGGGTTTTTATGTCATGTCTAATAGCATGGATGGTTGGTCTACTTAATCAACTCTCCTTCTGTGGATCTGTAGTGATACAGAGTTTTTTCTGTGATCATGGACCAACATTCCGTCTGGCCTGTAATGACACTTCTTTAAATTATATAATAGCATTTATTGTTTTTACTACAATTGACTGTATTCCTCCTATATTGATAGCATTGACATATATTTGCATTGCCATAGCACTGAGCAGGATTGCTTCAAGACAGGAAAGACTCAAAGCTTTGAAAACTTGTATTTCTCATCTGATTATTGTGGGGATTTTCTTCCTACCACTTTTGGGCACTGACTTGGCTGTACTGACCTCCTACATCCATCCTAATGCCAGGATCATAAACTCTACCACCATACCTCCGTTACTCAATCCAATAATATACTCTTTAAAAACAGAAGAGGTGCTGAACTCTATCAAGAAACTCCTCAAAAACAATAAACTGAGCAGCATAACCTTTTCCAGAAAGGTTACCTCTTTACCATGACTGTGTTGACAAAGCAAAAAGTGCTACAATACTACAGTCTGAATGTGTATTATACTTCTTTTATATTGATAAATATATTTAAAAAATGTATATGTTCTTTGTTTTGTTCTCTACAGGTGTGCAGTCGCAATATAAAAAAAAATGTATATGTTCTTTGTTTGGTTGTCTACGAGTGTGCAGTCATGGATGCTTGTGATTATGGCATATGACAGATTTATAGCAATTTGCTTCCCTTTAAGGTATCATAGTATTGTGAATAAACCAACTATTGCTGTAATGCTGCTGTTTATGTGGGTTTTTATATGATTATGTGGGTTTTTATATCGTGTCTAATAGCATGCATGGTTGGATTTCTTAATCGTCTCTCCTTCTGCGGATGTGTGGTGATAAAAAGTTTTTTATGTGGGCATGGACCAACATTCAGTATGGCCTGTAATGACACCTCTGTAAATTATATAATAGCATTTGTTGTTATTATTACAACTGTTTTCCTCTTACACTGATTGCACTGACATATATTTGCATTGTTTAAGCACTGATTTGATAGCACTGACATATATTTGCATTGTTCAAGCACTGATCCAGATTGCATCAGGACAGGAACGACTCAAAGCTTTGAAAACTTGTATTTCTCATCTGATTATTGTGGCTATTTTCTTCCTACCACTCTTGTCCACCAACATAGCTGCTCTGACCTCATACATCCATCCCAATGCCAGGATCATAAACTTTACTTTGACAAGCACCATACCATCTTTATTCAATCCAATCATATACTCTTTAAAGACAGAAGAAATGTTGAATTCTATTGGGAAACTCCTCAAAAACAACAGATTGAGCAACTTAACCTTTTCCAAAAAGGTGACTTCTTTGTCACAGTTGTATTGACACATCAAAAGTATTTAAATATTCATGTCTAACTTTTTTCTGTTAATTTCTTACTAGCAAGAACTACACTTTTACTTTTAAATTATGGGTATTACAGTATGCTATTTTGTCAGTTACTTTATTTTGCTGTTGCAGTAGCCATATACAGGTCTGCCTGTTAAAATGAATCAGGGTTTTGATCAAAGTGATCAAATATTTGGGTGATTGTTCTGTTACTTTACTTTTGCATAAAGATGTTAATATAAAGTATATATTGTAGTTAACACAAGTGAAAATATTGAGACTCTTATTTAAACTTACTCCCTCCTAATGTACTCACTACATGCCGGGAATGCCAGATCATGAACCCTAGAGTCCAAGAGGATCTGATCTAAGAGAAATGAGGCCTTTTAATGCACGTAGTGCATAAGCTTCCATGCCATTGGGATAATCTTTCCTCTCTACCAGAAGCTCTGGTATCACTTTTAGTTTTAATACATTTAACAAATATTGATTATTTTTATTAAGCACTTGCTGCAAAATGTGCACACTGCTGTGCTGGGTGAAGTGTTGCTTTGTTATAAGCGCTGCTTTGTTTACAGTCTGCTAGCTCCTTGCACTTTAACAGAGATCACCCCAATCTGCAGTTGAGCCTTGCTTTACTTCAGATGCTGTAAAATGTTTTGGTGATTTGAAGCTTTTGGGGCAAAATTTTGTAATGAAGAAACATGCCACCCAGTGTAGCAGTGCAGTGATCTGTTTTTAATTGTTTTTGAACAACAATAGTTTATGAAATTAATACGAATGAATGAGATGATCCAAGTTGGAGACTGACAGACATTAACCATGAGTAATGCAATTCATTGCTGGTTTTAAGTCTAATAGATTTGCAGTAGGCTGTACACCATGAGGTATAATGCTGCGCTCCTCAGGAAAACAAAACGAAAACAAAGAAACAATAAACTTCTGTTAGACAAGGAATAGCTTATTTATCTAAATTCTTTCATATACTGTAGGCCAGTGGAATGTAAATACTTTAAGACTGTCCTCACAATGAGTTGGAAATTATTTTCTCATGGAAAAAGAGGAGAGAATCAAATCTGTAAGTTCCTTGAATAATTGCTGTCTTTCTCTTCTATAAATATTACAAGAAAACATACCATGCTGAACTGTCTCTATAAAACCACACTGCCATAGACCATCTGGATGTTTACCCAAGATTTTCAAACAGCTGGCCAAACCACAATGCCCAAATCTCAGTCTGGCTATAATATAGTAACTTCATTCTTTCTATCGGAGCTCACATTTAATATTTTTTGTTTAATAGATGTTTGAATAGAAGACAGGTGTTGACCCCTCTGCTCCTTATTCAGACAGACAGTGTCTGATTTGTCTTTACAGCACTCAGGTTTTCATAACTAAATCTTCAGGTCAGTAGTTTGGCTTGAAATAGATTATTTGGCATGTCTGTCTGCATTTTCATTTCCCTCAACTCCAGCATGTCCAGGTACCCATGAAAAACCTAGAAGCCATCTCATGAGGTCAACACTGTACAAGCAGCACAGAATCTCCCACAGAAGGTCAGGGTGGGCCCCAGATGACCCATTCCTCAGAGCCAACCAGACAGCAGTAGAATCAGAGCAGATAAAACTTATTGGGGGGATTAACAAGTTCCTGGTTCACACATTAGCGCTGTAAACATGGGCAATGTGAGGATGATAATCTAATATTTACACAGTTCAATAACAGCTTCTATGATTATTTCATTCCTGTAGTAGAAAAACTTAATCAGAAACACCTTTTCATATGATCGTCACTATAAAGTAGCTCCAGTCTCACAAATGACCATACAACTGAGTGGACACATTAACAAGTATCAGCAAAACTTCAGCATTCATAACTAAGGTATCTGCTATTTACCGCTGTTCAGTTGTATTAAATTGTATCTCAGCTTTTCACTTTGCTCTCTCTGTAACAAGTGAGAAAGCTTCAGAGTGTGAGATTAGAATTTGAACTGGCCAGTATAGCAGTGAATACAGCATCAATACAGCAAGTTCTGAACTAATCACCTTGCGTAATTTGATGAGTGTGTTTGCATTTCTGAAATATCCAGAACAGAAAAATAAGCTATACAGATTTATCTTGACAAATATTACCTCTTAAGCTTCTAGACTTGTGTTGGACTCGCTGGGAGCTGTTGTCTTGAATCCTTTCAGACCAACGCGATTGATGTAGTTGACCATAGGCCTACGCTAATACATGCCGCATAAACATGTATTAGTTAATCGGTGATAGATCTATGTGCATGAATCGCTGCTGGCCATTATGGCAATGCATCAACATAACATGTACACAGTTAGCTATTAGCTGTTAGACTTAAGAGCTTGATAGTTAACTCATTCAGGTGGTAGATGGGAGTTTGTGGGCAAAGCTGAAAAGATTGCTGCTCTGCAAGTTTATACTCATTTAGCGGGTACTTTGATAAATTGCTGTGACTGGCATTTTACTCGCAGAGGTTTTATTGCATGTACAGTGGAGCAGAGGTGTTTTCACCTTGAGTAATGTGTTTCACCTGCTGCTCCTCTGTCCACTGCAGCATCTTAGCTGCACTTTGGTCCAGGATCTTAGCACCCCTTGACTGTACAGATTTTTAAACTCATTTGAAATCCTTGTGCATCATTATGCTCATTATTGTTAATATTTCAGATTTAAAAAATTTTTTTTTAGATAAAGTAACCTGTTATCACAAGAAAATGAGCTTTGTTATAACAAGATAAAATAACTTACTTGTGATTTTGAGATAATGCAGCGGCTCTCCTACATTATTATAATGTCCCTTAATCTGTCTTTATTATTTGTTAAATCACTAAATATGCTTTATATTTCCTGACATCTATGTTTTTTTAGTCACTTTCTACACTGTGCCATTAACAAATATTTCAATATCCCAATGACAATAGCAAACTTAGTCAATTGCATCATCCCATTGATGACATAATCTATTAGACAGTTACAGATGGAATAATATCCCCATCTGTTTTATGATCATGTGACTCGGGTACCTTCAGTCCTACCTGCTCTCAGTGAGTGGGATAAAATATAAATAAAAGATCTCAGAGTACAACTAACTTCAGGAAACTGCACACTTGATATTGTCTGATGAGAGTTTGGATATAACGGTTCCCAACAGTGAACTGTGTCATTCTTCATTAAATATTTTATTGATTTTCTTTTCGATCCAGGGAAACAATTAATCCAGAACAGAAAACTGCTACCATGTCTAATGCCACATTTGTTCACCCTGCAAAATTTTATATCAGTGGGTTTTCTGACATCCCTCATGTTAAATATTTGTATGTCTTCCTGTGTTTTGTCTATATCATGACTGTTCTTGGGAATGGCCTCCTCCTCTCAGTGATTTACCTGGACAAGACTCTTCATACTCCTAAATACATGATTGTGTTCAACCTGGCTTTGACAGATTTGTGTGGGAGCACTGCTCTCATCCCAAAACTCCTGGACACATTTTTGTTTGACAATAGATACATTGCCTATGAGGCTTGTTTAAGCTATATGTTTTTTGTGTGGTTGTTTACATTTGTGCAGTCATGGACACTTGTGATTATGGCATATGACAGATTTATAGCAATTTGCTTTCCTTTAAGGTACCATAGTATTGTGACTAAACCAGCTATTGCTGCAATGCTGCTGTGTTCATGGTTTTTTTTATTGAGTTTAATAGCATGCTTGGCTGGGCTTCTTGATCGTCTCTCATTCTGTGGTTCTTTGGTGATACAAAGTTTTTTCTGTGATCATGGACCAATATATCGTCTGGCCTGTAATGACAACTCTTTAAATTTCATAATGGCAAAAGTTGGTATAACTTTAATCATGTGTATTCCTCCTGTATTGATAGCATTTACATACATTTGCATTGGCAAAGCACTGAGCAGGATTGCATCAAGAGAGGAACAATTGAAAGCTCTCAAAACTTGTACTTCTCACCTGATTCTTGTGACTGTTTTCTTTTTGCCACTTTTGGGCACCAACATAGCTGTACAGATCTCCTCCCTTGACCCTAATGTCAGGATCTTCAACTCTACTTTGACACACACCATACCAGCTTTGCTCAA